CATCTGCATACATGAGGTTGTTATTTCTCCTGGCAATCTTGATTCTGGCTTGTCATTCATCCAGCCTGGCATTTCAAATGATGTGCTCTGCATAGAAGTTAAATAAGAAGGGTGAAAATAAACAGCCTTGATGTATTCCTTTCCCTATTTTGAACCAGTCCATTTCCCCATCCCATTCTGTTGTTTCTTCTCCTACATACAGGAGGCGGGTAAAATGGTCTAGTATTCTGATCACTTTAAGAATTACCCACAATTGTGATCCACACAGTCAAAGGCTTCAGTGTAGTCAATGAAGCAGAAGTAGATGTTTTTCTGGAATTCCTTTGCTTTATCTATGATCCAATGGATTTTAATTATTTGATCTCAGGTTCTTCTGTCTTTTCTAAATTCAGCTTGTACATTTGGAATTTCTTGGTTCACTTACTGCTGAAGACTTGCTTAAAGGATTTTGCACATTAGCTTGCTAGCATGTGAAATGAGTGCAATTGCACAGTAGTTTGAACATTACTGATTAGCTGGATGCCTTGCACAATCGTTTTTCTTTTTGGGGCCTCTATGTCCTCATCTCACATTGAGTGATGTATTCATGTTGTTTTCAGGGACTCAGTGTTCCCAAAGAATACTGAATTAGAAATCAAAAGCAATTTTTGGCTGATCATTGCACACTGCATTGGATAATATCTGAGATTCCTTCCAGCTCTTAGATAAAAAGAAGCCCTGTCTGTTTTCCTTGCTCTGGTAAAGTTAGGGCTTCATTGTTTTCGCTTAACCATAGACAAAGCATACTTCTGATTCTGCTCTATTGCTTATGGGATTAAATCTTCAGATAATATGACATTTCATAATAAATATTTATCTCCTGTGAACATATCTGCCAAAAAGCCTGCCTTGCGTTCTCAGGTGACACACAGGAAAGGCCGAGTGTGACCTCTGCTCACAGTGGTTTCCTGTCCCCGCCCGCTCACACCTTCTGCACTCCTGTTAAGGTCTATGTGTGATGTCACGAAGTCACCATGCCTAGGTTAGTCCACACCACCCTGCCTTTCTAGGGTACTCCTGCTCATTCTTCAGAATTCAGTTTAAGGAAGCATTTGTATTGTTTCATGCTCAATCTTGATAGAGAGAAACTCCTTCTTTGGGTTCTCACGATTCCTTCAGCACGGTGAGATTACTGGTTCGGTTATGTCTAGTTTTGTGTTTCTTTCATCACTGTTGTCTCTTTCCTCCTCTAGATCATCAATTGTTTGAAGGCAGGGAGCATGCCTTTTTCACTTCTGCATTTTTCAAACCAGGGACTAACTCGTGTTCAGTATTCGCTTACAGAGTGAATGACTGGTTCAGTGGATAGCTAAGGCCCAGAGTTGTGCACACTCTACTCTGTCATATATGCTTTCTGTGATGGAGGTGAGGGGGTGAGTGCCAGCCCCACTTAAACCCCCAGCTCCTGTCTCACCTTAGCAGTGCCAAGCCTTGTGACTGATTTCAGTGAGATCCCTGCCTGCTCTTTCTCACCTGGTTAGAGTGTCCTTAGGTCTTTAATTCTTGGTGCACTCATTTATCTTTGGATGTGCTGTTTATATTCTTGTATCATTTACATAATCTTTAAGTCTGATGATGACTGCAAACTCTGCTAAGCAAATTCTCATGAAGGGCAAAAGGTGATTTCTGAAGGCATAACAAACTCTTCAGGTGATGAACTGAAGACCCAAACTGTGGTTTTCTAAGGAGCATTTGCTGTTGCAAGTGACAGATTCATGACTTTGCATTCCATACTGCAGTTGATCTTCTGATTCTCATAGTTGCTTTTACCTTTTATTGCTCAACTGCTGGGTTCCAAAATCTTAATTTCAATTTCTCAGTCAGTCTTAACAGTTGATCCTCAGCCCCATTTTGCAGATGAGTTTCAGAATAGATATGAACTGCTCAAAGTCACATAACTGGAAAGTGACTCAATTAGGATTTGAACTTGGTTGTGGTTGGCTTCATAGCTGAAGCTCTTTCTGTTTTGACACAGTGTTATTCCACTATGACTAATTTTGTTACATACCAGTTTATTGTCAAGCTTCATCCTAATTACCCTCCAACTTTCCCCCTGAGTTTGAGCAGAGCCATTGGATATTTCAAAAAGGAATCTTTCTTCAACTTCTGACATCTATGGGGAAAAAAAAAGTAAAAGTAGAACTACCACATTAACCATCAGTTTTTCTCCTGGGTATACGTCCAAGGAAAACAAAAACACTTTCAAAAAGGATATATGCTCCAGAATGCTCACTGCAACCTTGTTTATAATTGCCAAGCTATGGAAGCAACCTATGTGCCCGTCCATACATAGATGAATAAATAAAGATGTAGCATATAGGGGGAGTTTTATAATCAGTTTCAATTTCAATACTGGTGATTAGTCTGTTATATATTTTCTGTTTCTTCATGCTTCAGTCTTGGGAGATTGCTCATTTCCAAGAATTTGTCCAGTTATTCCAGGTTATTCGACTTTCACTCTTGCCATCTCCTGTTTGACCACTTCCAATTTTCCTTGTCTCCTGGACCTAATATTCCAGGTTCCTATGCAATATTGCTCTTTACAGAATCAGACTTTGCTTCTATAACCAGTCACATCCACACCTGGATGTTGTTTTTGCTTTGGCTCTGTCTCTTCCATCTTTCTGGAGTTATTTCTCCACTGATCTCCAGTAGCATATTGGGCACCTACTGACCTGGGGAGTTCATCATTCAGTGTCCTATCTTTTTGCCTTTCCACACTGTTCATGCGGTTCTCAAGGCCATAAGACTGAAGTGGTTTGCCATTCCCTCTTCAGTGGACCACATTTCGTCATAACTCTCCATCATGACCCATTTCTTAGTTGGCCCTACATAGCATGGCTCATAGTTGCATTGTTAGATAAGCCTGTGGTCCATGTGATTAGATTGGTTAGTTTTCTGTGATTGTGGTTTCTGTCTGTGTGCCCTCTGATGCCCTCTGCCTGTTCGTACCGTCTTACTGTGATTTCTCTGACCTTGGACGTGGGGTATCTCCACTTGGCCGCTCACCACTCCAGCGTGTCGTAGACTAAGAGGGAGTTTAGGGGTTTACAATTAAGAGGGACAAGCTACCATGTGTAAAATAGATGGACTACAGGGATATATTGTATAACATAAGAAATTATAGCCACTCTCTTGTAATTTTTTAAATTTTGTTTATTTTTAATTTGTGGAAAATTTTTCTTGGTTTCTGCTGTATAACACAAATCCATTATAATTATATATATAATTATTTATGTGTATAATTTATACTATATATAATTTATAATTATGCATATATTTATACATAGATACATATACATAGGATAATTTTATCCAATAAAATCAGGGTATGTGTATATATAGATCCCCTTCCTTCTTGAGCCTCCCTCCCCTTCCCCTATCCTACCCCCCAGCTCTCTGAATAATCTGCAGGAATACTTAATCACTATGCTGTTCACTTGAAACTAGTACAATGTTGTAAATCAAGTATACCCAGATTTGAAAAGTTAAACGTTCTTAATCCATTGTCCTAACGCTCAGGGTATAGTATTCTCTTAAGCAAATGGTGTAGTCAGTGTCCCCTTTGCATTTCACTCAAGAAGAGAGTTAGAAGTTAAACTGACCCAGACCAAAGGAGGAGTACACACACATACACACAAAGGGAAGTGTAATAATTTTATGTGGGTTATGTACCTTTTTGATTAAGCTTAACTTATAAATAAAGAGGCAATTAAATATCCAATTAAAATTATTATATTTTACCTGGACAAAAAATTTTTAAGTAATATAGAGATCAGAAACCACTTTATGATCAAAGTGCCACATGCTTTATTTCCTTTATTTCCATATGATCAAAGTGCCACATAATGTTTTATTCAGTTGTCTGCATATGATCACATTTTAATTGCTTTGAGAATGAAGCCTCTGTCTTAAGAGGACTGACTCACAATTAAAACCTATAATCTAGTCCCCATGGTTATCCAACCCTCTTTAAGGAAAGCAAAATAAAAGGGCAGTCATGTGTATATGCTCAGAACGTGGCTTGAATTTCTTGCAGAGAGGTAATTCAAAGTTTTATGATTTTTATTTCATTTAAAAAATGTAAATCTTTTTATTTTAAATTTCACCTGAGCTTATGAAGAATTCTAGTAAAAAGGAAAATAATGGACAGCACAACTAAGACTCTAAGAAGGAAGCTATAAATAGCTGGTGCTGTCATTCACTGCTGTGGACAGGTACAGTATTTGCAACTATGTGGAATTAATTTTATAGCATGCTTTGTAACGAGTGCAGTTGTTTTGGTCCACTTGCAAAACACTGCAAAAGCATTCTTAAGAATTTCAGAGATGCCAAAATATTGGTTATTTGCAGTAGGCACTGTTTTTGCTGCTTGAAGAACACCGGCGTGATTTCCAGATGGTGATGCATGAATTTTGCTGTTGAAGAGTGTGCAGAGCAGTCTTGATGAGAGAAGAAGGCTTTTGAGTTAACCTTACATGCTTGTGCAGAGGATGAGCGAGAACTCAGCAAGAATAGTTCTATACTTTGCATTTTGGATGTGAGTGGGCTAGAAGAGAAAGAATAGAATGTATATGCTGCATTTTCAGAAACTTAAAAGGACTCTATGGACCTAAGCAAACAGGGAGTTCCAAAACCCAGATTCAATACAATCGCTTATTGAAATCCAACGCTTGTTCATTTGTCCACTACTTTCCTCTTTACTACAGCCACTCTGGAAGTTGGTGATGGACAGGGAGGCCTGGCATGCTGCAGTCCATGCAGTCTCAAAGAGTCAGACATGGCTGAGCAACTGAACTGAGCTGACTGATAGACACCCTGCTTGCTCTACTATATTATCCCAGGATTTTATTTTCCCCATGTGTTAGTAACTTCATTAACATTTCTACTATTTCTTGTGAAATTTGGACACTGACATATTTACAAGGAATACAGGTTTAAGCTTACAACATCTTTAATAAATGGCCAGAAATAATTGTACTTTGCTGACAGAGTTCATCCTGTTGGGATTAGCAGACACATTGGAGCTACAGACTATCCTTTTTTCTCTCTTTTTGGTGATTTACACACTTACAGTTGTGGGAAATATTGGAATGATCCTTTTAATCAGGACTGATTCTCGACTTCACACACCTATGTATTTCTTCCTGGCAATCCTGTCTTTTGCAGATGTTGGTTATTCATCCACCATCACTCCAAAGATGCTGGTAGATTTATTATCAGAGAAGAAGTCCATCTCCTTTGCTGGTTGCTTCCTGCAGATGTACTTCTTTATAGCCTTTGCCACAATTGAATGCATCCTTTTCGGGTTAATGGCCTATGACCGCTATGTGGCCATATGCAACCCTCTCCTTTACGCCTTGATCATGTCCAGGACGGTCTGCCTGAAAATGGCCACAGGGGCTTTTACAGCCGGTCTGTTGAACTCCATGGTTCACACAGGTTATGTGAGCAGCTTGCCATTCTGCAGTTCCAATGTCATCCATCACTTCTTCTGTGACACTCCTCCAATTTTTAAGCTCTCCTGTTCTGACACACGCCTGCATGAAAGCATCTTGTCCACATTCGCTGGTGTGAATATAGTTGGGACTCTGCTGGTGACCCTCACCTCCTACTGCTACATTCTCTTCTCCATCTTCCGCGTGCACGCGGGGGCGGGGAGGCGCAAAGCGTTCTCCACGTGTGCGTCTCACCTGACAGCCGTCATCCTCTTCTATTCCACCTCCGCCTACACTTATCTCAGACCTTCCTCAAGCTACTCCCTCACTCAGGACAAAGTGGCTTCCGTGTTCTACACTGTGGTGATCCCCATGTTGAATCCTCTGATCTACAGCCTCCGGAACAGTGAAGTGAAGAAGGCTTTATGGAATGTAATTACTAGGAAAAGAGTCCCTTCATTTCTGGGGTTGTTTGGTTAATTTTCTGAACTAAATGGAGTATTTAATGAATTTTAAAATACTGGTTGAAGCTTACTGTGATTGTGGGCTTCATTTTCTTAACTGAGTAGAGTACATATTGAACTTTAAAATGCTGGATCAACTTATCATTTTTGATTAGAATATTTTCTATGTAATCATGTTGTATTCATATCCAAATATATGAATCCAACTGGAGATGGAAATTGCAACCCTCTCCAGGATTCTTGCTTGGGAAATCCCATGAACAGAGGAGTCTAGAGGTCTTCTCTGTCCGTGGGGTTGCAAAGAATTGGACATGACTTAGGAACTAACCTTCATATGAAATTCTAAAACTTTCATCTAATTGTTCTATATTTCCACTGGGTTCTCAAAAGTATGATGTGTTTCAATGAAACTTTGGTTAGAGAATAAAAAGATTAATTAGTGGGCTTCCCAGGTGGCATAGTGGTAAAGAATCTGCCTACCAATGAAAGAGATGCAGGGGATATGGGTTTGATCTCTGGGTCAAGAGGACCCCCCTGGAGAAGGAAATGGCAACCCACTCCAGAATTTTTACCTGGAAAATTCCCTGGGCAGAAAAGCTTGGTGAGCTGCAGTCTGCCATGGGGTAGCAGAGTGGGAAATGACTGAGTACCTGATCATTTAGAGACAAAAGTTACAGTATCATATAATCTAATCATATAGAGTATTTTTAAGATCCATTTAGCTTTTTCTTTGGCCTTCTTTGTCAGAATTAATGATTAATATTAATAAGAGATAATGATATATTACATATGTCAAAAATACTTAAAATTGATTTCCATTTTAAGTTTTTGAATTATTTCCCCAGGAGATGCTTAAGTCACATTTCAATACTCAACTTTTACTTGTAGCAGTAGACCTTTTATTTTCCTTCTTCCCCTCATGGACATATATGTTCATTAAATAATAAGTATGAGCTTATACAAACATATGCTGTCAAGAAAATTGCTGACTGACTAGAATGCACCAATTAAAGTAGCACTCTTTAGATCCTTTCCATTCTCCAGAGATTTTCCAATGCTCTTCTCACTTTCTCTCTCCCAGACTGAGACATATACACAAACCACAGCACACACATTCAAATATGGCAATTTTTAAACAGTACATGGCTCCAAAGTAGGTAGGTCAATGCTCAGTGAATGAATGTGACACATATTCTTTATAACAAGTTCATGGATTTCCTGTGTATGGGAATCTGTTATCAAGTTAGCAATAAAAATGAGTTAAGGTGTTTTAATGTTAAAGTTAAGCATTATATGAAGTTACCTAGGAAGCTGGCTTAGTAGGACTCTAGAGGAAACTGAGTGGGAGCCCAGACTTGCTAAGGAGACAAGCCCTGAGATGCTATCAAGCTAACGTTATGGCCTGGCACGAAAGGTCAGTCCGTTCTAACATCCATCCCCCTATGTCCACATAGTTGACCTTCACCAAAGGGATATTCATGAAGTCATCAATGTTGTCGGTTCATCCCTGGACCATGCTCTCACCCCAAAGGTCCAAATGGTTATCTGGTCCTGGAGGCCATGCAGGGGACCAATCAGGCTGTTCTCAGAGATGGTTCACTCCTTCACTGAGTGACTCACCCACATTTTTCTGCACCAGCTGGCTGTTCATTGGCTGTATTTTTCTGCATTCCTTGTCCTGAGTATTCAGTGAAATCATACACATGGTCAAGATATTTCATTAATAAATATCAATAGTATATTCCTTGAATCAAATACTTTAATTTCTAGTATAATTTAGAAATAGAAACAATGTTTGGGAGATTAAATCCATTTATTCTGTGATTTAGGGCTTCCCTGGGAGCTCAGAGGTAAAGAACCTGCCTGTTAATGCAGGAAACACAGGTTTGATCCCTGAGTTAGGGAGATCCCGTGAAGAAGGAAAGGGCAACTCACTCCAGTTTTCTTGTCTGGGGAAGCCCATGAACAGAGGAGCCTGGTGGGCTACAGTCCATAGGATCGCAAAGAGTCGGACATGACTGAGTGACTAAACACCAAAGTCTGAGTTTTAGGTTATATGCATATCTTATTCTGAACCTTGTTCTCTAATCTCTAAGCCTAGTCTCTTATATTTAACTACTTTCATTTGCAAAGCCTTCAAATATTTTCAACTTTGGGAACTATTTCCACTTAATTATATTTGTTAATTTTAATTCAGTGAATATGTACTGCTTATGTAACTCAAGATTATTTATTTAGCCTTTAATTGCTTGTGAAAATTATTTTTAAATCATATTTTCTTGCTTATTCAAAGAATTTATGTAAAACATATTCAAAATATTTTTTTTAAATTTTCTTTGACTCAAAAGAAATTCAGAATGTAAAAGCATTGAGACCTCTAATTGTGAGTTTGATTTTATCCTTCTCTTCTTTAGAATTGGACAATATTTATCAAACCCTCCCTTATGAATGTAACATTCTTTTGCACCTTTTGCTATTTGCATTTTGTTCTGTTTTTCTAACGTCCCTGTCTTTTATTGCACTTAAACATTTAATGTTACCACCTACCACTTATCGACCATGTTTTGCCTTATTCAAGGGTTTCTGAGTATTTTATTTACTAAAGTTAATGAATTTTGAAATCCATGCCTTCATGCTTTGTTCAGGAAATATTCATCAGCAATTTGGGAAATCAGAGACTAACTTACAAAACCTGTAAATGTCATAAAGTTGGAAAATTAAGCAAACACATTGGTAAGGATGAAATAATCACAAAGATTCAAATATACAACCTCCCAGAAAGATGAAATTATTGGAGTCCTGCATTTAGGAAAAAGAAATATGCAGAAACAGTAGGTATTAATATATAAAAATAGTGTTTTATTTACATGTGTTAAATATAAACTAACATGCACAAAAATAATTTTCATTAGTTCATTTAAAAATAGAAAGTCTTACATTTTGTAAACAACTATTAGGTAAAGGGTAGTGGTTGGGTTAAGTGAAACAATAAGCCTGTTCAACTTCACACAACTCAATTAAGTTAAAACATAGTGTATTAACTTATAATTATGCTTTAAAAGACAAAGATAAGTGATATTATGTCAAGAGGACAAAAACAAATGGTCACATGTATGGAAAAAAGTGAAATATAAAGTTGTTGAATAGATTTTAAAAGATACAATCTGCAGTAAAAGAAAGCACTATGAACTTTATTGAAAATATGTAGATTTATTGAAATATATAAATTTATAGGAGCAATTTTAAAACAAATAGTCTTTTAGAAACCGTATGGAATATATCTCAGATAGAAGGTATGGCACCAGAAACAGGAATGTGGTCATTTGTTGCTAAACTTAGGTATAATTTACTTCTTTGGCTGGGAAATTGGTATGTATCATCTTTTTATTTTTAAATTTTGTCTCGGGCCTGGTGCACTGGGAAGACCCAGAGGAATCCGGTGGAGAGGAAGGTGGGAGGGGGGATCAGGATGGGGAATACATGTAAATCCATGGCTGATTCATGACAATGTATGACAAAAACCACTACAATATTGTAAAGTAATTAGCCTCCAACTGCCATATGACCCAGCAATCCCACTTCTGGGCATACACACCGAGGAAACCAGATCTGAAAGAGACACGTGCACCCCAATGTTCATCGCAGCACTGTTTATAATAGCCAGGACATGGAAGCAACCTAGATGCCCATCAGCAGACGAATGGATGAGGAAGCTGTGGTACATATATACCATGGAATACTACTCAGCCATTAAAAAGAATTCATTTGAATCAGTTCTAATGAGATGGATGAAACTGGAGCCCATTATACAGAGCGAAGTAAGCCAGAAAGATAAAGACCATTACAGTATACTAACACATATATATGGAATTTAGAAAGATGGTAACGATAACCCTATATGCAAAACAGAAAAAGAGACTCAGATGTATAGAACAGACTTGTGGACTCTGTGGGAGAAGGCGAGGGTGAGATGTTTCAAGAGAACAGCATGGAAACATGTATATTATCTAGGGTGAAACAGATCACCAACCCAGGTTGGGTGCATGAGACAAGTACTCGGGCCTGGTGCACTGGGAAGACTCAGAGGGATCGGGTGGAGAGGGAGGTGGGAGGGGGGACTGGGATGGGGAATACATGTAAATCCATGGCTAATTCATTTCAATGTATGACAAAAACCACTGCAATGATGTAAAGTAATTAGCCTCCAACTAATAAAAATAAATGGAAAAATAAAAAATAAAAATAACAAAAAATAATAATAATATAAATAAAAGAAAAAAAATTTTGTGGTTTTAATCCTACTGTAAAGACACTGCATATACCTACACTCCATCCTTAAGTCTCAAAATAATCTGTGGGATGTTTAAGTCACTTAATAAAGATTATTACTCTATAGTTGTTACTAAAGAAGGATGAATCTTGGCCAAGGAATTTCAAGATTTTGCAAACAAGAGATCAACTAGTTGAAGAACTATGTCAAAAACTTGGCTTCTGAATTGGGCTCCAAGTCCTCAACTTTCTGAAATTGTATGATCATTGTAACCT